ACCTAAGAAAGCACGCTGTGCTGGGTGTGATACAGGTGTCTGAAACAGTCCCTGTGTCACACAGCCCCCCCTGTGGGTGGTGTCCCACCGCCGTCCCCAGGTGGCGACCGTGCCTTGGTTCCGCTCTCCACATTTCCTTTTGGATCTGTGGAGAGGTTCCCCTCAGCTGTGGCCGTTATTGAGGGTGGCGGTTTCCTGGGTCCCTTTCCCTTACGTAACACACTTCCTCCCTTCCCTTTCGAGGCAGGAGTAAAGTGTGTCCGTTTGCCCCTTACCTGTGCCTTACCTCCTTTCCCGAGTGGCACTGGTGATAAAAATTAAAAATTTGTTTATATTACATCATAGAAAAATAGTGACTTCTGTATTTAAAACATTAAAATAACAAAAAAAATTTAGACCAAAATCATTTTTCTACTTCAAGTAAATGCAACATTTTTTAATGTATTTAGTACTGGGGACACTTTTATAAGAGAAAACCTTTATATCTTATAAGGGTGTCAACTATATTCTTTTTAATGAAAACATACATATTTAACTAGCTTATGAAATAGAAAACAATAAAATTTAGAAAATGCCTGTTCCAATGTTTTGATCAGTATTTTAAAAGTTATAACTATTTTAAAATATATACAAATAATACTAATTTAAATTATGATAACTATAGTGGAGATATCTATGGGGAAAGGTTAGTCTAAATTTAGCTTTATTGATTGTAAAATTTATTAAGTATTAAAGTTTTGTGTTAAGTATTTTTTGCATTGAGTATTTATAGTTGGTTTATTGAAGTTAATAAAATTGTTAAGTTTAGTTTTTAGCGCAACATATTATTTCATCTTAAATATTTAAATATTACATTATGACTTATAGTAATAGTGAGAAAGCTGATATGTTGATTTGCTATATTGAATGTTGTAAAAATACTAGAAAAGCTTTAAGGTGTTGTAAAATAATTTATGAACTAATTTTGAACAAGTAGTAATTGAAAGTTTATTGCTTAAATTTTTAAGGCTATACATGGATAGATTTTCTGATCGTAAAATTCCGCATCATTCTATGTTTGCTCGGTTGCATAATAATATTGCATTTATGGGTAGTTTTACCTTGCCTACAGGTCACTTACGTCAACGAAACATAACTACTGAGGAGAATACTACAGCAGTTTTAGCTATGTTAGTAGCTAAACCAGACATATCACTTCGAACTGTAAAAGGTATTTTAAGAATATGAGGTTAATGCATTGTTGAATATTTAATATTTAATTTGTAGATGAGTTGGGCCTCAAGTATAGTTCAGTTCAGCGTATAGCAAAATTTAATAAATTTCATGCTTACAAATACACTTCAGTACAACAGTTAAGATCTAGTGATTTTGATCGTCGCTTGCATTTTGTAACTATAATGATGTTGAAAATTAATGAAATTTCTGGGTTTCTTTCTAATATTCTATGGACAGATGAAGCTTATTTCCATAATAATGGCACTGTAAATAGCCATAACCAGCATTACTGGATTGATAATAATCCTCACTTAATTTCAGAAAACAAGTCCCAGATTCGCTTTGGAATAAATGTTTGGTGTGGTATTATACATAATACACTTATAGATCCATATTTTTTTGATAAAAATTTATATTCAACTATATATTTAAATTTTTTGAAAAATATTTTGCCTGGTTTGTTGGAAAATTTAATTTTGGACCAACGAATAAATATTATTTTCCAACAGGATGGGGCTCCAGCTCATAATTCCAACGTTGTTATACACTTTTTGAACACTACATATGGGAATAATTGGATTGGTACAAAAAGTCCAGAAATACAATGGCCACCACGATCACCAGACTTGAGCAATCTTGACTTTTATCTTTGGGGCTATGTAAAAGACCAAGTTTACAAAGAGCCATTAACTGATGTTGAAAGCTTAAAGAATAAAATAAAATCAGTATGTTCTAGTATAACACCAGACACATTAAAAAATGTTACATTACTTGGAGTAGAAAAACGCCTAACACATTGTTTAGATACTGGTGGTCAAGTTTTTGAACATATATTAAAATTAAAAAAATAAATTGCACAGCATGACATAAAATTCTTGTTGATTATTAAGCATTGACAGAAGTAAATGTTGTAAATAATTCTCAGTCGTAACTTTAATTTTAAAAATTTAACATTTTCACTTTACTTGACATACATGTATCAAGTTATATAAAATAATTTAATAACAACTAATATAAAGAATAAATCATAAACTAAATGACCGAAAGTATAACTATTACATAATAATGTACTATTACATTTATGTACGATAACGGAAGAAATTGTTATTAAATAAAATGATTATTTAAACAGAAATAACAGTGTTGCCACTCGCCACTTATGATTAATAATTTGATAATTAGAATTATAAAATGTATCAGTACTTGAAAAATCTACGAACTAAGACATCTTTCATTTTAGTTCGTAGTATCATAGATTAAATACACATAGATAGACCACGCCGTATACAATTTTGGCAGTCCAATTTTTATTATGAATGGACGCAGGGAAACGATGTGCTAGACGCAGGCGATTGTGCTGATAAATAGCGTAAATTTTGAGTGCTTCTATTGGTTGAAATATACGTGGTATTTTAAATCTTTAATAATTATTAAATGAATGTATGATGCACATAATTAAAGTTATTGTTATACACATTAGTAGGGTAAAATAGAGAGTTCTAGAACCCCCCTCATCGACCATCCTATGAGTTGGCGTGGCATGAGGGGAGGGGCGTGGTCTTCGATGGTGGGGGTAAGAGAGGCGTGGTCTTATCAATGATGGGGTAAAGAAAAGGAGTGGTCTTATCAATGATGGTGTAAGGAGGAGGCGTGGTCTCACGATAGTGGGGGTAATAGTTAACTTAGGTGGGGGTTTTAAGGTCAATCAAAATGGCGGATTAAAGTGCGAATGCGCACTATAACTTCATGTCAGTGGTGGGGGAGGTAGCCATTCGGAGAACAACCATTCGGAAATGGTTGTTCTCCTCCTACGATGTCATGTACTGGAGGGTAAGGTAAACCTTATGTGAACTGAAACGGTAACTGATAAAACGTACGTGTAAACTTACACATTACATTGAAATACTGTACGTCAAATAGTGGCCGCCGTTGTCACTATAACATATTTACTTAATATTAACGCAGCAGGGGTGTCCGTCAAAATTCCTACAGAGGGAGGGGGTAATATTCTGTCCCTAATTCTCGACCGGTATCAAGACAAAGGATTATTTTACTCAAGGATGAATACGTTACACTCTCAAAGACTACGTTTCAAGGAGAGTCTTCGCTAGTCTTTAAATAACAAGCACAAGATGAATGCCGAGTGTTACTCACCCGATCAGACATTTTAAAACTCAGCGCTTTGGAATGTTGTATCTTCGAGACTATCAATCAAAAGATTACTGTAATTCAACCATTGGTTTTACAACAGTTGGAACAGATGGCTCTACATAAGAAATCTCAGTATGAAGTAAATGTGGAAAACAAATGTATGTTGATTAATGCGTTTTCGGATTATACGATTAGAAACAGTTTACCCAATAGCGATCTGAGCTACATAAGCCAAATAAAACAATTTGCAAGCCAGCAGTTTGAATAACGGTGGACGATGCTGGAAATATATACTAAAGAAATGGTGAGTTACATTTTTTTTTCTAATTGATTAGAACGTATTTAATAAATATATATCATTTTTTCAGTCTTCTGACGGAGAAAACGTATGCTCGACATTTTTTGGGTCGCTGGCCGATGATATAACAGATGCAAATATACAGTCGGAAACAATCATACCATTGAGTACAAACAACCAAGAAATACCAACAGTAGTTGTTAGTAATAGCTATCCGTCGTAAAACGTCAAGTCTCTAAAACATGTATATAATTTATAAAAAAAAATTGTTTAAAATAAACGTATGTTGCATTGAAAAAATAGTGCTGTTATTATTAATACATACTTATACTGAAACATAGTGAAAATCTCATTTTTAAAGTAATTTGTAATTAAAATATTAATGGATACAAAGACTATAAATACGTTTAAAGATTTATATTTAAAATAATAATTATTATCTAGGATTTTATAGCTAATAACATCATATGAAAAAAACTATGTTTCTATAAAACTCAAATAATTTTTCTTCTTCTTAATTATTCAAAAAGGTTAAAACATGGTCAAAAACCTAGCTGTATGATATAATAAGCATGTAAAATACCATTTACAGTTATGTACAAATATATACATATATTTTTTAGAAAAAATACATTTTCTTANAGAGTATTCCTAGAGTTTTGGTGGATAATACTTTATACCTTACCATCAAAATGTGACATCTCATTACGTAACTATAGCTTAAATACTATGGCATACTTACACATACAACTATTGTACTGTAATGAAGAGAAAAAAACGTTGTAGTATATATATATATATATATATTTACAGTTATGTACAAATATATACATATATTTTTTAGAAAAAATACATTTTCTTAGTACATTATGTTACATTAAAAAAAATGTTTTAAAACTACTTATATACATGTATATTTACAAAAAAAAATTTTCAATTCTTGGCAATATTTTTTTACAATGATAATAACTTAAAAACTATAGGTTTTCCGGTGGTTGTATAGCATAATGCCCGTGGGCCAACGTGTCGATTCTGTTGTCGAGTGTGTAGCGCTTATCATCGAAACGGTTAAGTGCCAACTTAGTTTTACGTAAAGTGCGTACCTCGTGCTCAAACGAACGGATTGACACGTTCTGTCGGTACGGTGTGCAGGGTAACGATAATGTCGGTGGAGACTCACCACCACGTATCACTCCGATGACCGCACGGGCATTCTCTCCAGCGAATGCTCGTTTTGACGCATCGTCACCATCACCATCGTCTTTGAACAAACACTGTTTGTAGTCGTCCAAAGACAGATTGTTCCGGACGACGTGTCCGCGGATCCCCTTAGACTTTATGAGTTCGCTGCCTTCCATGTCAAATGCGTAGTACTTTGATCGAAGTGCAGCGATCTCAAAGAGAGTGAGGCCACTGGTCTCGNAATCTCAAAGAGAGCGAGGCCACTGGTCTCGTCTGAAAACAAGCCGGGCATCTTCTTTCTATCGGTGGAGTAACAAAGGTGATCCTTGGGCAGACTAGATGCGTCCACGTGCACAAGTAAATCGGGGCTACCAGCTAAATCCTGGTAGAAGTCGCCTACTCTGAGCAGGTATATGAAGGAGTCTGAGAAAAATTAAAAATTCTCAATTTTAAAATATTTTTATTTTGTACGGTTGTACTCACCAGTATCCATGTAAACCAATTCGATTGCACTGCCATAATGTGGTTTCAATACGTCGTAGAAGTACTTGTACATTAGCGTCTTGCTAATGTCAAGCACTGCTAAACCGACGTATATTGGTTTGATAAACTTGACCATCTTTGTGTCCATTATGACGGCGCACAACCTTTCACCGTATTTGATACAGTCGTTGAAGGTTGGTTGGTTTACGAGCTTGCTTAGACGTTCGGGACTGGAGATTAGCTCAATGAGGATGCGTTTCCGCATGTTCTCCATTGTTTTCCCTATAAAATGTAAAAAATTATCGAATAACCCACTTTAGCATTGAGCATGCACTTACCAAAGACGGCATTGTTCATTAGTTTGAAAAATGCAATTTCAANGAAGACGGCATTATTCATTAGTTTGAAAAATGCAATTTCAAAAGCATTTGCCGCCTTTTTCCGCATTTCAGTGTTCAACTCAATGTATGGTTTCAACCAAGCACTTTGTTGAAACTCTAAAACGCGGTGCACCTGCAGTACAAATATTTATATTAGTATCATCGCTTATAGTTTATAGGTTAACTATACATACTTTATCGACTTGCAGTCCGTGTGCGATCGCCTGTTTAAGATTAACGTAATGTACGACGTACCGCTGTTTGGGTTTCAAAGTGGCCATGAGTTTGGTCTCTTTGGAACCCGGCGGTAAGAAAATTTCTTATGTTCATCAGTAATATCAATGTATGCAGATCTAGTAGTAAAACAATGTAATCTAGAGAGAAAACTACTAATGCAAAAATTAACCTTAGCCTTGTAAGGTTTCAGCCAAACAGTACTATTTACCTATTGCCCAGGGAGAGCACTGGACAGTGACCTAGTAGCCGCGCCAAGCAAGATAGTACTTGTTGACGGAGCTATTAGGTTTTGATAAAAACAAAAACAAATATTAATAAAAATGAGGGAAAAGTATAGAGAGAGAAAACAAAGAGGTCATGTATAATATAATAACATTTTTTAATCATTTAATTATTCAAGATTTTTAATATATATATTCATAAAGGAAAATAAATAAAAAAAGAAAAAGAGAGGTGTCAGTTACACAAAATTAAAAATGGGGTAAAAGGGGGTTTCATGTTGATACTTGTCGTTGTTGTTTTAAGGAGTGACAGCCCAACACCGGCCATAGTTCGTGCCTCATACCATCATCGACATCTCGACGTTTATTTTAACAAAAAAACGGAGGACAAAAAAATACAGCCTGGTTGACAAAAGTTGACGCGCTTGAGGAACCAAAGTAACACTTGATCAACTCAACGTTTTATTTTTAAGAAAAAAAACGGAGGACAAAAAAAACTAAAAGAATAGGTGGTTTTCACAACCAAACAAATATAGACAGACAACTTGTCGCCTCGGCAGTATAGGTGAGAAAAAAAAATCTGTTGTCGCGTCATTTAGATAGTGGCCGGTGATCGTGACGCCGGGTGGTGGTGGTGCCAACTTTGAACACGTTCATTGAGGGGAAATAACAATATTGGTACAGGTGCACAGTGTACGGTCAGCTGATGACGATAGGATGACAGATATCGGACCGGTTGACTAGTGGAGGTTATCACATACACAATTATTAAAATATTTTACACCTACTGCACACACATCTAATTGATAAACAAAAACTAGTATAAATTCTGCAACATTACAGCCTCTTATAGCTTATCCGAATTCGCTCTTCTAATGGGTGAAGGCCCTGGATATACAGCATTAAAAGTAGTGCTGAGCACCACATCCGGATCAATCCGTATCCGGATTACCGATCCGGATCGATCCGGATTGAAACAAAAGTGACAATCCGTTCAATCCGGATTAAAGTATCCAATCCGGTTTAATGTAAACAAATCTTCATGGGTTATTCTATTATAGCGAGAATTGTTATTGTTCAGAAGTGCTATTAATAAATATCGTGTTGTGCTCTACGTGATATCACATATCACGTAGATATCAATTGTACTTTTATCAATATTTAATAGCAGGCAAAAGGCATTACGTTAGTAGTACTGTCTTAGTACGTATCGTATTAAAAAATGTCTCAAATTTGGGCGAGCTTTACGAAAGGCGTTGATGAAGAGAACAAACATTTAGTTTTTGCAATGCTTGTGGAAAAAGTTTCAAAACTTCAGGGAGTACAGGTAAATTACAATAACATAATAATATGTAATAGGTGTAATAAAAATGAAAAGATTTTATTCTAGAAATCTAAAACAATAACTTAAATATCTATAATATACGATTTTTATCCATTTTATTTAATAATTACGAGTATTAATTATCATTTACCCGTATTTTTAAGTAAATTATTTATTGTTTATTGCTTTTCAATGATTAATGTTGACATTTTTTTAAACTCTTTAACTTGATTACCTAACACAAAAAATATATTTGTTTTGAAAAATTCTTATATTAACTTTTTTAAATTAAAATTTTTTTATTAACTCAAAATACAAAA